GGTACCCCTCCCGACCTCCGAAAACATCGGCTTGCGTTTGCCTGCGCCTGATGGGCTGCTCTGCGCGCGCGCCGGGTGCTCATGATGCTCGCTGCGTGCCGCCCAGGTGTCGCGCGCGGGTGCCCCAAAACAATAGCATGGGGAATGGCCGCAAAACGTGCCGGGTAAGCCTCCCAACCAGGTCCCGTGCGGCCCGATGGAAAAACGAGGGTCCCATGATGTTTTGGTGGGGCCGGGTCGGCGGCATTGGCTTCCGACCCATAGCTAAAGCCAGGGCCATGGCCTGCAGCAGCAACCCCAGGGCGTTGCCCGATTTAATGGCTGCCGCCAGTGCCGGCGACACCCAAAGAGCACGACGGTCCTGGTTTCCAGGGTTGGTTGCCTACAGGCGCTCTTCGATGTGCAAGCCTGGTCCTTCACGCCTCGCTGACGCCTCGCTAAAGCAAATGGGGCCCAGCAGGGCGGAGTGGAGGGGGGGTTACCTGGGACCCCAGCGCCCTAGCGCCCAGGAGGACCCTGGCAGATCAGGCAGTATTGGCGAAAAATGGGCTTGCCCGGCTAATGCTGATGCTCGTGGCGGGGGTTGGTCGCCTACGCTCTTCGATGTGCAAGCCTGGTCCATGTACGTAAATTCACGCCTCGCTGGGGCAAAGAGGGCGCAGTAGGGCGGACGCGCAGTGCCTGCCTTGCACCGCGAGAAACCCTATGCTGTAGGGCCCGGGACCCTATAATAGGGCCCCGGAACCTAGGGCCCGAGACCCAGGACCCTAAGGCCCGAATTACTTACTCTACTCTATCGCGTGAACCAGCCAACCAGCCATTTGCGATCTGTGCGCCGGCCCCGGGGTCGGCGGATATGCATGTATGTATCCATGCGACAGCGCCAGTGAAGCATCAGAAGCTCTCTGCACTGACGCTGTTGGCACGGTGCCATGCTGGCTGCAGGCCCTGAAAAGACCCAAGAATGTCTGACTGCCAGTACCTTTCAGTCGGGATCTGCCCCCCATTGTCCACGATCTCGCAAGCGCAACGGCCGTTGTTTCTTGGCCTGGAGCTGGGACGCTCCCCATCGCGCACGGCGCTTTTTTGGAATTCCCGTGGGTTGGGTTGGGATCCAGACAGAAAGCTGTGCGCAGCTGCTAATTACGAGTAAGAGTCTCAGAGTTATGGGTTCGCAGGCGACAGGTGTCAGCGTTAATTTAGTAATGTGGCTCTAGAGGCTTGAGCTTTTGGCTTTTGCTGAGAATTTGGACGGATATGCATCGCGAAGCTGAGACAAGCGACGCCGTGCACCTGTCCATGGTCTGCTGCGTGTGCAGACTTGGGGGATGTCAGGAGATGTTGGAGCTCTTGCACGCGGAGCTTACTGAGCTCCGCCAGAGCAGGCCCATCTCAGTCGGCACCTCTCAACCAAGCTTCTTGTCTTAGAGCCGAAGGCGCATCTCTCACTCGAAAACGCCCCTGCGCGAGATGCTGATCCCACTGTGCGGACTCCAGATCGTACTCTTGAGCCTGCGAGCGCCTGCGAGCGCCCGTCGCGAGCGACAGTCAAGCCCTTTTGCGGAGCTGAGGACCGACGACGGCGTGCGATCCCCAGTGGCCCCGAATGCCTTTCTCCGACTCCATAAAAACCGCGCCTCAGCAGGCCCCCATCAAGCCAGCCCACATGGAGCTGATGGCTGGGAGACCGGGGGTGCGTCCCCCCCGAACGCCAAAAGAGCCCGAAGCTTTGCAAGAGCCGCGAGCTTGCGCAGACCTGGACACTCCGTACGCTGGTGGGCCATGGCCCGAGCTAAAGCAAAAAACGGCCGAACAGGCCGAAGGGGTAGGATGAGGATCTATGGCAATGCATGACAATGTATGAATGTATGGGGGTACCCATCGGCTCCATAGTAGTTCCTTTATTTTTGTGGTTTATATTTAGGATCCTTTTTGAGGTAATCCCCCCAAAAGGAACTACCAAAAAGGAGCCCTGATCTTTCATTCGCCGCTGGGAGCTCCTAAGGACCCGGCCTGATGCGAAAGCAGGAGTTTGAGGACAAGGAGGAAGCGCCGGGGACCCCCAGCGCTGCCTCCGGCTCTCTCGGGGGCTCCTGGATTCCTCTGAAGCTCTGGGGGGCAATAGAGGAACCTTTTGTTTGCGTTCTTAAATATGACTCCTAATATTAGGTTACAATTAAGGGTCCAGGGTTTCTGAACCAGATTCCTACATTACTGTAATGTGATCTCAGCCTCTCCTCAGGTGGCAGGCGTTCGTCTACTGCGCGGATACTGCACGAGACCGAGCTCACCTCCCTTTGGGGCGCAGAGAAGACGTCATGGGGTTTGCCATACACTTGCATACTCTGCTGGTGGGCTCCTTGGTTTCGCTTTTTCGAAGTCTCCTGACTTCAGGTACAGCCCTGCCACCTTCTGGTGTGGTGCTCAGTGAGGGTTTTTCTTTTTCTTCCTCCTCGGCCTCCCTCAGCGCCTTAGTAGGATCCATCTGGCAACACGCGCGCCTCCTCCGGCTGGGTCGGCGCAGCTCTCTCAGAGTCTGCAATTTTTGAGGGCTCTGTTTGGGGATCCGGGCCCCGAGGCCAACCAGGTGGCTCGCGCCCAAGCGGCCGGAGAGCTCAGATGGAGCAGAGCCCCCTTAGTTGGGACTGCGGTACAGAAACAGCTCTCCAGGCGATGAGCCCTCCACCTCGCTATTCCTTGCCCATGGGTGTGCGGAGCCCGGTAGAGCTTCTGTGGCAGCCAAGCGCAAAAATAAGGCACGGAGAAAGCATGCAGAGCCCCGCCTACTAGAGCCCCTCTTCCTTCCTGGAAGCTCTCCCTTGATTGTTTTTCCGCCCTGGGAAAGGGCCGGGGCGAGGCCACGACGCCGCCCCCGCCGCTGGCTCCCGCGCCGCTGGGTTCCCTTGCGGGCCTTGGCCCGGCGCTGCAGGCGACGGCTCCGCTGGGAGCTCCGCTCGGAGGACTTCCCACGGAGCCCAGGGTCCGCCAGGGCCCCAGGGGGCCTTTAGAGCTGGGGTTTATAGGGAGGGTCTTTAGGGCCTTTCGGGTTTAGAGGAATATAGGGCTCACTGGGTTTGCACAGGGTTTAAACACGGCTCACAGGGTTCACAGGGCTTTGGGGCTAAAAATCTTGTGGGAAAGTTCTGCTGCTGCCGAGGCTTCCTCTGCTGAGACTCCTCGACTCGGGGGGCCTTCTTATGAAGCCCTGGTCGGCGTGAGGACCGCACCCGGGCCCTTCCAAGAGGGCCAGAGAGGCGCGCGCGTTTGTTTTAGTCGGCGTTTTAGGATTGAAGGCACAGCCCCAGCGTAATTGCGGCTTAAAGCACGCCGCTGGGCTGGGCCGAAAGAAGGAGCTCTGTTAGAACAGTTTTGGCTTTGCTCCGGGCGCCAGCAAAGCTGGAGTCGGAAGTGCAGGGCTGGGTGACATGCTGCTCAATTGCGAGCGCCGGAGTACCTAGATGCAAGAACTAGCCTACAATTGCTGGATGGCCTATGGAAGTGACAACGTCACCTTCTCTGCACTTAGCTGGCAAAGTGTAGGGTCCGTGGATGGCTATCTGGGTTCCAGACGCTCGTCCAAATGCTGGCCACTTGCACACCTGCATGCCTCTCACTCTCTCTTTCTCTCTCCCTCTCTCCCTCACACTCTCTCTCTCTCGCTCTCTCAGTCTCTTTCCTTCTGTCACGATCTCCGATGCAAGGCTCTTGGGTTCGGTAGCAAAAGCCGAGCAGCCGAGGAGAGCCGCGCTTTCCGACGGCCGAAGTCGCGCAGCCGGGGAACCCTGGGCTGCTGCCTGGCCTTCTCCTCTCCCCGAGGCTCTCAGGGAGGGTTGGTGGGGGTTTGGGGGGATGGGCTCCTCGCCTGTTTTTTTCTGTAAGGCAGGCGCTTTAGGATTTCAGACCCCTATTCAAGACGCCTTACCAAAAAAAGTCTGAGGTGACGGCAAGGGAAGGCCGCTGTTTCTGGGGCTGGGCACGTCCACAAGTTGGCGTCCTCCCCGGAAGTCATCTGAGCCGAGCGGTGCTCGAAAGTCGCAAAAGCCGCCGCTGTTTCCAGAGGCCAGGTCGCCGGGTAGAAGGGTGGGAGCATCTTCTCCTGGTTTCGTTTCGGCTCACAGGCATGCTGCCGGCGAAACACACGAACCTAGCAGCGCCTGCTATCCAGCATAGCTTAAGTCGCACACTCTGCACACTGCATAGAATCTGTTGCGCAATGCCTGCAACGAAAAGCATTGAGCAGCTCTCACTGGCAAGTAGAAAGTAGACATCCGCACTCTCAGTACGCCCGCTGGCCGGGATGCCGCTAGACAAGTCGCGCATACAGGCAGGCTGCATTTAGGAGAGCCCCTGCCTGTGCAAATATGGCATAAATACACGATCATGCTCATCAAAGCGAGCTTCGAAGGGCACTGAAGGGGTAATTTAATTTCTGTGCGGCCGAAACCTCCCAGCGCCCAGGGCTTTGGCCACGACGGGGGCAAAAGCACGGAGAAGGACAGCTGGTTCGGCCAGGACTCCAAGGCCGGGTCTTTTATCAGAATGGGTGAAAAACCATATGACAAAAAGCATGACTCCATGAGCTTCTATGTCACCACCCTTCGAAGGAGTGGAAGTGTCCCAAGGGCCATGTGTTGACGCCGTGGTGTGCCAAGTGGGGCGCTTGTTACCGCTTACTCTTGTCTCCTTGTCTCGAGAGTCGTTCAGCCATTTAGTGCAAACAGGACAAGGGAGGGACATGGCTCCGCAATAGTGCTTCGTGGCGAAAGGTCCTGTGGCGCTTTTTCCCTTGCTTGCCGATGGGTGCTTTTTGAGTTTGGCAAGCGTGGGCTCCGGGTGGAGAGGAGATGAGCCCTCGAGGGTTGTAGGGGGGGAAGGCCCGGAAGGCTTGATGCACGCCGATGACAGCTGCAGCTGTGGATAGTCCGATGGATTAAGCACAGTCTTCGTCATAACTCGCCTTTTGGCCCTTCTTGCCTTTCTCAGACTCTCTCTAAACTCCGAAACCCAGCTGCCGACTCCTCGACGCTTGATCACTTTTTCGAAAGGATCATCATCCCCTGACCTACTATACAGGGTCCCTAGGGGGCTCTATAATACCTGGGAGGTTAGGGATCCTCTTTCCTCCTCCTTTGGCCGGGGCTGGCGTTCTTGTTCCGGAGACCCCTTAACGGGGACCCTTCTGAACCCTACTTGTGGCTCTCTTAAAGGGGACCCTATTGAGAGGGTCTATATCCCCAGGGGTCCCGCTAATCCTAACTCCCACTTGTTGAAGCACGATGAGGCCGGGCTGGTGCGATGGCTGCGGTTCGAAGATCAACACGGGAGACCCCGCCCGGTCCCCAGGCGTTTCTGGGTAGTTCTCTACATTGGGGTCCCTTTTTTAGGTCCCCAATAGTGGGGCACCCTTATAAACAGGACCCTACATGGGACCCCAGTCTAGAGAACTACCCAACTCTGAAAAAGCCTGCAACAGACTCTGATGCGATGCTTTATCAGACAGGTCATGGACTGCAGGCAGTGCAACTATTACCTCTGCAGGACATGGGAACAGTGTAGGAGCCGAGAAGCCTGCGTGGAGCTGCCTGCCAAGCTTAATCGCTTTCTTGTGACGTTGCACCTGCATGCGCGCTGATGTGTCTTGTGCTTTTGTTAGTTCCCAGCGGCAGTCCGTTTGTGTCTCCATGTAAATAAATAACATTATGTACTGTATATTTGTTAAGTAGTATAAGTATACACACATACATCACACACACACACATAAGGCTTGTCCTATTATAATATTCTATTTGGTATATGATTTGTTATATTATATGTATTATATGGCATTATACTGTTTTGTAATATTCGCCACTTGCAGGAGCATTGCCGAGTTGCAAGATTATGTGTGTGTGTGTGTTTTGTTTGTGTGTGCGGGTGGGTGGCCGTACGGCGACCTGAAGAAGTCGACTTTCCGGTTCTCTTCGAAGGTGGCACGGGGCATCCGAAGTTGGCTCAAGAGGAGACGTGTTTTGTAGCTTGGACTTCCCAAGCCAGTGAATGCGGCACATCCCGGGCAGATGGGTGGGAGACAAGAATCTTCAGTCGTGCCTACCTCAGAGCACGGACTTCAGCATCACACGTGTCTTCAGCAGATCTGCAGCATCATATACGTATCTTCAGCAATGTTCAGAAACTGAAGCGTCACATGACATGTAAACACTTGAACATGCCATGAAAACAAGAAATGACATCGAGCGCATGATTTTTAAAGTGACTTCACCTCAAAATCAAAACTTTACGCGCGCAAGCTGCGATGGTGGCTTATTTTCACTTGGAGAGTTTGGCTCGATCCACATATATGTTAAACAATTCCCAACGTCTAAATCGAAAGATGACAAACTATAGAAATTCAAGATTCCTTCGATCTTGATATTCGTGAATGTAACAACATAGGAAAGAAATCTCACGGAAGGCAACACTCGCTCACGAACATCTTTTCCTCGAAGGTGGCCTGAGGCATCCGGAATGACTCAGGAGGAGACGTGTTTTGTAGCTTGGACTTCCCAAGCCAGTGAATGCGGCACAAAGTAGAAATAACTGCGAAACGCGACGACCCATGCCAGTCGACAAAGACAAGTTGTTAAAGATGATAAGTGCAAAACCGTTTCAGTATAAACAAAACGACAGCTGGCAAGCTCTTCCGAGAGCGGTGACATAAAAACCTAGGCATCCCCCCTTGCGAACCGCGAAAAGAATAGGATAAGAACAAGATTCGGACCCCCCGAAACCGGACTCCTTGGGGGTCCCCGTAGGCGGGTTTTCTTGTTTTTTCGAGGTTTTGTTTGTGGGTTTTTACGGCCTGTGCCAGCCAGTGAAAACAGGCGTGAAACCACATCACGAAGCAACAGAAGAGTGCAGAGTTCTAACAAAGTACTCATACGAGCGGGAGGGTGAAGAATTCAAAGCGACAGCTTGCTGGCATGGCACAACGAAGAGCCAATATGTTGCACGAAACATAGTCTGTTAAACCTAGTGAAAACGCAGTGACGCCGTAGGCTCTGAGCAGAATGCCGATGGCACGAGAAAGGTAGGACGATTTTCCGGGAATGCCAGTTAGTTCAGCTTCAAGTTGAGACAACCACAAAGTCACCGCGGTTGCTGGGTGGCTGAAACGCTCCCCCACTGGAACCGACGGTATGCAGTACACATGCCCGAGGTAACAGGGTGATATGGCACAAAGACAGGACTGGACTTGAAGGCGGCGCTGGCCGGGCCACTGGGTGCGAAGCACTCTCCTTTTTTTTGGGTGAAAGACAGAGCAGCCGCGTGGCTCGCGGCTGCTGCGCCGGTATCGCCAGACAGACAGACAGAGAGACAGACACAGACACAGACAGAGACAGACACAGACACAGACACAGACACAGACACAGACACAGACACAGACACAGACACAGACACAGAGACAGACAGACAGACAGACAGACAGACAGACAGACAAAGCGAGACAAAGCGAGACAAACAGAGAGACAAACAAACAAAGAGGCACAGAAACAAAGAAACAAAGAGACAGAGAAACAGAGAGACAAAGGAGAGACAGAGGAGAGACAAAGGAGAGACAAAGGAGAGACAAAGGAAAGACAGAAGAGAGACAGAGGGGACACAGAGGAGACACAGAACAAAGGAGACACAGAGGAGACACAGAGGGGACACAGAGGAGACACAAAAGAGACACAAAGGAGACACAGAGAAGACACAGAAGAGACACGGAGGAGACACAGAGGAGAAACAAAGGAGACAAAGAGGAGAAACAAAGGAGACACAGAGGAGACACAGAGGAGAGACAAAGGAAAGACAGAAGAGAGACAGAGGAGACACAGAGGAGACACAGAGGAGACACAGAGGAGACACAGAGGAGACACAGAGGAGACACAGAGGACACAGAGGAAACACAGAGGAGACACAGAGGAGACACATAGGAGACGCAGAGGACACACAGAGGAGACACACAGGAGACACGGAGGACACAGAGGACACAGAGGAGACAGATAGGAGACACAGAGGACACAGAGGAGACACAGAGGAGATACAGAGGAGACACCGAGGAGACACATAGGAGACACACAGAGGAGACACATAGGAGACACACAGGAGACAGAGAGGAGACACAGAGGACTTCAGCCTTTTGCGTGCGATCTTCGATCTTTCGGTGGGGGGATGGGCGGGGAGGACCTGCGCACCGGAGGAGGCCCGGCACAACGGGTTCTCCAAGCCCAGGGTCTTGTCGGGACAGGTTTGCTTAGGGTTTAAAATTGAGGGTTTAGGGGGACGGGTCTTTGCTTTGGTTCGAGTTCAGGCTGACAGGTCCCACGCATATCGACCGGAAGACATCGCAAGAGCGCCGCGACTGTCATTTCCAGCAGAGTAGTAGCGCCAGTCGTCTTTTCTCCCAAAAAGGCAGAGAGCACGCAGGCCCAAGCATGTAATAACTACATTTGTCTGACTTATGTACGGCGATGTTGTCTCCGCAGACACCGTTCACCTGAGAAGAGACGGTGGTGTTTGGTCGTTTCAGGCGGAATCCTCTTCATTGTGGGGGTCGATCCCCTCCTTCGCAGACATGGGGCGACTTGACACCGGTAGAGTTTCCGACAAATGTCTGCCAGCACAGCAATTCCCGACACCTCGCGGATGACTGAGGGCCCACCCTGCTGTGAGCAGTGCTCTCGACAACGTCGCGCTCAGCATTGGGGACGTCCTCGATGCTGCAACGCAGGACAGTGCCGACAGGGCTGGGGACACTGTGTCCTGGTCACTTTCGCCAAGCTGGACATGCTCAGCAGAATGGCAGCACTAAGCGGCACCAGGGTAACAAGACAAGTTATCATCACAACATCTGGTGAATAAGGACGCATAGGGCTCGCGTACAGAGATGACGAGGAGGGCGACGTTGACTCTCTCTTCGGGATGATGATAGCGTGGTGATGGTGAGATGACGGGGGATGATGCGCAAGTTGCCCAAGCATCTTCTGCTGGAAGTGGGGGACACGTTGGGGGGGGCAAGGGGAGAGCGCCTCCTTTGTGGGCAGGACCTGAGCGAGATGGCCGGGGACCTGAAGTCCTTCGTGGCTTCGGCCGTGGGTTTGGAGGAGGCATCTAAGTGGGGAGGGGCCTCTCTCTCCCCCCTTTTCTCTTTATATAGGGCATTTTAGAAAATTTTAGGGTTTGGGGCCCCGGCACTTTTAGGCTCTCCTCCGTCTCCCTCCTTTAAAAGGAGCCTGACGAAGAGCAGAAGGCCGAGGCAGCGAGCAAGAAGGTCCTGGAGGCCGTCTCGCCGAGGTCGAGGCGCCCCAAGGGCGCCATGAAAAAAAGGGAGGGGAAGAAGAGAGTGCTAGTGCTGGTACTATAGTACTTATAGGTTTTAGGGTTTTAGGGTTTAGGGTGTACTAGTACTGGGGAAGTGGCCAACACAAAGCAGCCGCCTTTTAGAGTCGCGCAGGCAGGAGGCAGCGGGCGCCATCTCGGACTTCTGCCAGAAGTACCCAGCGGCCCGGGTGCCGGCCCCAGGAAATACGGGCTTTCGTTGCCCCCCAAAATTTTCCCCCTCCCCCTCCACTCTCTCTGCCTCTGGCCGGCTGGGAGTGGCTTTGCGGTTTCTTCTCTGAGGTGCGGCCCACGACGCAGGAGTTGGAGAAGCTGTGGGCAGCCATCGGTGGCTTGAAGCCCGTGGCGCTGAACAGCTTGCCGGCAGCAATAGGCGTACTACGGAGTACGAAGAGCTTCCAGCTGCATGAGGCTCTGCTAAGCTCTTCCTTTGCCATTTGTTGGCCATGCGATGTGGAGTAGCCGCCATATCAGAGCTTCCGATTTTTCTGTGGGAAGGTGCTACAGCTGACTTCCTAAAGCCGTATCTGGCCTCTCAGTATTGGTAGCATGCGACCTGTGCTTTGAAGTTTGCAAGGATTTTAGGAGCTGGTGTCACCAGGTGCCTTCTACGACGAGCTTAGCTTCTCCAACGGCCGGACTCCTGTTTGATTTCTTCGATGACGTTGACCTGGCTTGTCCAACTTTTTGTGCGCTAATACCCTAAACCGTTCCTACCACATCACTGGGTCGGTGGGGTGAAATGGGTGCGGGAGGGAGCGCAGACTTTCAAGGCGATACGTCCTGGCAGCCGCGTCTCAGAGTGGCCGGCTGAGATTCGGAGGAAGAGCCCCCCAAAACCGGAGCCCGACACCTTTCCTGAAAGGATGGCGCCCAAGTCTCTGAGGTGCTCTTTGCCTTGGAGTTCCTCTTTCGAAAGGATGGCCCGGGCAAGGAGCAGCGGAGCAGTGGGGAGGGAGGGCGTTCTGAGTGGCGCATGCTTGGGGAGTAGGAAGGCTAGCACTGCTCTTTGGAGAGAGCGGGCACGGCCGTAGGAGGTGGCGATCAGCGTCTTCCACCAGGCACGGAGCCTCATCCTCCACTTGACCGAGGCAAAAGGGCTCTAAAGGGCTCTCAGATTCCCAGCAGTCTTTTCTATCAAGCCTTGAGCCATCCCGGCGGCAGAGATGCGGGACTTGACGGTGTTGCTGTTGCGTTAATCCTCTAGACTCCGAGACCATAACCAACGCGCAGGTCCAGCAGTGTGCCGAGAAGGCCAAGGAGGCAGTTCTGCGAAAGGAATGAATTCGGTTTCAGTGACCTGGGTTTCGGGCCTGGGGCCAAAAGGGCCAGGGCCAGGGGGCGCATTTCAAGAGCTCAGTGGATGTTTCGGGTTTTCACGGCTTTGTCGTAGTTAGTGGCAGTTTGGGGGGTTAGGGCCTGTGTAGGCTCCTTGTGCTCTCGCTGTGAAGGTCATCCGCCTCTTCAGCCGGAAGGAGGCACACCCGGTGAACAAGCTGTTCTATTTTGTATATTGCTATCTAATATCTATAGATTACTGTATTACTATATTACTACAACATTATTATATGATCCTATTATCGATCCAACTTTTCCCGAAAGCTTTGCGAAGGGTT